AAGGTATGGGTTCAAATTTACTTTAACCACTTGCCGACCCACCACAGTAAATATACTGCAGTGGGGCAGCAAGTGCATGCACATTCCTAGATTGTAAGCTCGAAAGAGCAGGGCCCTCGAACCCCTCGTGTATTGTATTGTTACTGTTTTGTTTCATGTTCTGTCCCCCTTGCTATTGTACAGCGCTGAGCAAACCCTTTGGCGCTATATAAATACTGTATAATAATAATGTACGTCATTGTGCCAGATTGGGCTAAGGGGAAGACGCTATGTGCCCGCTGAGCTGCACGGCGCACACCCCCTGAGACTGCTGTGTCCCCGGCTCATGGTACCATGCTGCTTTGAGCAGCCCAGGAATCATGTGATTGTTCACAATGCCAACAAAGTGGTTATGAATTAATCTCATTCATAGCAGCTCTGCTTCCTAAACTTGTGAGCTGTGATTGGTCCACAACTATCACATGGTACCTGAGCAAATCACACCACGCTGTAGCCAATCACAGATCACTAGTAATCACAGCTGTCATGAATGAAACTCAAAGCATTGCTGGTGCAAAGATCTTCATTATATCAGCAAGCAATCATAGTATAAAAAAATCCCTGATCACCCCCCAGAGTAGTACAGTGTTACTATGGTGACACTGAACTACTCCGATGAAAGTATGTAAAAAAAAATAGTAAAATACATTTTTAAACAGTTACAAAAATAAAAAAATAAGAAGTTGAATAAAAAATAATTTAAAATTTATTTTTTAGATTTTATTTTACTAATATACTGTCACCAGTGTCCCTAATCACTGCCACACCAGTCATATGATGACCGTATTGCACTGGTAACAGTATGTTAAAAAAAAATGTGAAAAGAAAACTAACTTTATTTAATTTCTTTATTTTTCAGAAAATTGTGGCAAAAAAATGCCAAGCCTCCTACTAAATACCTCAGACTGTCTACTTTCCAGAAACTAGCCATTTTGGAGATATTTGTACTATCCTGGCATTTTAGGGCCTCAAGAAATGAGATAGGCCATCAGTACATCAGGATTGATCGATTTTCAAATATACTGTATATCCCAGTTTGTAGGCGCTATAACTTTTACGCAAACCAATCAATATACACTTATTGGAACCTCCATACCTCCAGTGACTCCTGTAAGCCTATTTATGCTTCTGTGTCTCCAGTGACCCCTGTGTGCTCCCATGACCCCATGTGTACTTCTGTGTCTCCAGTGACCCCTGTGTGCTCCTGTCTACCCATGTGTACTTCTGTGTCTCCAGTAACATGTGTCTCTGTGTGCCTCTGTGACACCAAGCAGCTTCAGGTATGCTCTTGTAATCTTTTGGGCTGTCTCTCAGTGCATATGTGCTCCTGCCCATGATATCCTCTCTGTACTGCCCTATGTCAGGCCCTGCACCATTAATTCTTATACACACTGAATGCCATCATCCACTTTGCACTTCTCGCCTCTACATATTGCCGAATTTCAGACCCTCCACACTCCACTTCTGCACATGCTGACTGCTAAAGCACTTAACCACTTGCCTACTAGGTACTTTCACACCCTTCCTGCCCAGGCCAATTTTTAGCTTTCATCGCTGTCGCACTCTGAATGACAATTGTGCAGTCATGCAACACTGTACCAAAACTAGATTTTTATCATTTTTTGAGACAAATAGAGCTTTTTTTGGCGGTATTTAATTACCACTGGGTTTTTATTTTTTGCTAAACAAACAAAAAAAGCTATAAAGTTTGGTAAATAAGTGATTTTTTTCTCCTTCACTGATGTGCGCTGATGAAGCTGCACTCATATATGGCACTAATAGGCATCACTGATGGGCACTGAAAGGCAGCACTCATATATGGAAATAATAGGCTGCACTGATGAGCACTGATAGGCACTGACAGGCATCATTGAGGAAGCAGTGATAGCCAGCACTGATGGGCACTGAAAGCCAACACAGATGGGCACTGAAAGCCAGCACAGATGGGAACTGATACTCCATAGAAAAAACAGCACTGTGGTGGTAGTAATATAAAAACCCCACTAGGGGGAGTACCTTTACTGGAATAAGCAATGGAACATAAAACACTTGAGCCTGTGGCTTGGAGGAAGTGCCTTGGTCAGGTGGACAGCCCGTCCGCTTGGGGATGATGTGCAGTAGTGATGAATGGAGTTGAGCCTGTCAGATGCAGGGACCATGTGATCGCGGCATCCCGGGATGATGTCAACGCAATAGCCAGGAGATGGAGGGGAAGCCCAGCATACTGCCGCAAGCATTGGAGATGTGGCCGGAGATGTTACCAGGACGACATGTTTCGTGCACATGCACTTTCTCAAGTCCTCGAGGACTTGAGATAAATAAAGAAAAACCCTTTTTTTTCAAAATGTTTGGACTTTTTCATTTATATAGCAAAAAAATAAAAATCCCAGTGGTGAATAAATACCACCAAAATAAATTTATCTGTCTCAAAAAAATGCTAAAAAATTCATATGGGTACAGTGTTGCATGACCGTGCAATTGTCAGTCAAAGCGTGATAGCACTGAAAGCTGAAAATTGGCCTGGACAGGAAGCTGGTGAAAGGGTCTGCAATAATATCTCCTTAACCATCCCACCAGGTATGTCATATTTCATATGTAGACATTCAGCAGACGATTTTGCGTATTAATCTACCCGTGGGTGGAATGTTACATGTACCTAGGAAAAGTTATGGGCCATAATATAAGCTAGGAGGGATTTTCGTTCTAGCTTGGGTCTCCACCCCAGCACCCCTCCCCAAATGAAACAATTGGTTCTCTGCTGTAAGGAGTGGAGTTGAGCGGTGTGTGAGAGTTGAAGAGTCTCCCTGTAACATCGAAACTAACAGTGGGAGATCAAAGCATCCTTTTGGCTCTGAAACTTGGAAGCTGCTTAACCCAGGACATGTGGCAAGTACATTAACAGTCTAACTTCTCTCTGTTATCTCTTTGCTGTGCTATTGTTTGTTGTGTATATTTATATATATATATATATATTGGCTACATCTTTTTCTGTAAATATTTTTATTGCACCCTTTTGACTTTTTAGTAATAAATCTTACTTTTTGAAAGTGTTGAACTGTTTCTAACGCCTTTAATGCAAACTACGAATTCCTGCCTCGAAAGAGCGCTACTGTGTGTGTGTTTTAAACTTTGGTATATCTCTGCCTGTGGTGACAGTGGTATACCGACGATTATTCAAACATCATAGTGTATTGCTAATATTGCCAAGTTTCCTCTTTCTCTGTACAAAAAGGAGGTGGTGGCAGTGTGAAGGGTTAATTGCGTAATTAACCTGACCCAGTAACAATCGCTTCCAGGCTGCCGGTACACAGACTGTGGTCCATTAGCTGGAAAATCTGTGTGCAGGGTGCAGCTGGGCGTGGCATTGTTACGCCCGTGACAGCTCGGTTTTAGATTGGCTAGTCCTTCGGTCGCGAATTTGGTGAGAAGGGCTGGGGTCTGACGCCGCGATCGTCACAATGACAACCTTCCCGGAGTGCGCATTGTGCGTGCCCGCAGTGCCGCACTGTGGTGAGCTCTGTCACCGGCTGTGTACCTCAGACACGGCCGATGGCAGATCTGTGTACCGGCCCCGTTGCCAGTACCATGTGACCTGCTGTGACCAATCACAGCAGGCCAAATGACAGTTGTATACAATGGATGGCTTCCTTTCATGCCATCCATTGTATACAAGTGTGTCTAGCTGTGAATGGTCACAGCAATCACAGGCTGGGCCAATCACAACCCATCTGTGTCATGTGATTAGCCATGGTCAATCAGCTAATCACAACAGAAAAACCTGAATTAATCGATTTCATTCAGTTAAATGCTTGCTTATAGCGAAGAAATTCTTTGCTATAATCAATCAAATTGTGTAAAAAAAAAAAAACTAATCACTTCTCCAAAGTAGTACAATGTTACTATGGTAACATTATAATACTTTGGGCATAGTATAATATGAAAACAAAATCTTAAAAAAAGAGAAAAAAAGGAAAAAAAAAAATAATTAAAAAATAACTTGAAAAAACATTATCAAATTTTTTTTTTTATACTGTCACCAGTCAGTGTCTCTGATCACCGCCATGCCAGTTTTATGATGATGCTGTACTGCACTGGTGACAGTATGTAAAAAAAAATTGGGAAAATAATTGTTAAAATTTCTTCATTTTCCAAAAAATTCTGACAACAAAAAATTTATACTTCAAAAAACTTGCCATGCCTCTTATGAAATATGTCGGACTGTCTACTTTGCAAAAAGGGGTCATTTGGGGGATATCTGTACTGTTCTGACATTTGTGGTCCTCAAGAAATTAGATTGGCCGTCAGTACTTCAGAATTGATCAATTTTCAGATCTATCCCATAGTTTGTGAACTCTATAACTTTCCTACAGACTAAATAATAAATACTGATTTGGGTTATTTTCACCAAAGAAATGTAGCAGAATACATCTTGGCCTAAATTTATGAAGAACAATTATTTATTTGCAAACTTTTATAACAGAAACAAAGAAAAACGTCGGATTTTTTTCAATATTTTCTATATTTTTTTGTTAATTTAGCAAAAAATAAAACCCCCAGCGGTGATTAAGTACCACCAAAAGAAAGCTCTAGTTGTGTGAACAAAATGATAACATTTTAATTTGGGTACAATGTTGTATGACCGCGCAATTGCCATTCAAAGTGTGAGAGCGCTGAAACCTGAAAAATTGGCCAGGCCATGAAGGGAGTAAAAGTGCCCTGTATTGAAATAGTTAATGACACAGGTTCTGATTAATGGGGTAATTAACCACCTCCTGCCCGCCATATAGTACAACGGGCGCAATTTGGTTCTCTCGTTCTGATAGGACGTCATATGATGTCCTTCCATTCTCACCGTGCATGCGCAGCTCAGGGAGCGCGCAGCGTGGCTATCGCCGGTGTGCTGTGTCCCTCGGAAACAGCGGATCACGGAAAGAGCCGAAGATGTCGACTCGGTCATGTGATCAGCTGTGTCCAATCACAGCTGATCACATGTAAACATGGAAATGCCAGTTATCGGCATTTCTCTCCTCTCGAGCTGAGAGCTCGAGAGGAGAGGAGAGCCGGTAATCGGCTTTCCGTGGAGGGGACATGTACACTGATCATCAGGGCACTGATGATCAGTGTGCCCTGATGATCAGTGTGACCCCAGAAGTGCCACCTGTCAGTGTCCATCAGTGCCAGCAGTCAGTGCTCATCAGTGCCACGTGCCAGTGCCATCAGTGCCACATCAATGCCACATATCAGTGCATACCAGTGCAGATCAATACCACATATTTATTTATTTATTTATTTATCGAGTTTATATAGCGCCAAAGGGTTTGCTCAGCGCTGTACAATAGAGGGGGGGACAATACATGAAACAGTACAGTAACATCAAACAGTACACAAGAGGTAAGAGGGCCCTACTCTTTCGAGCTTACAATCTAGGAGGGAGGGAGTAGAGGTACAGGAGGAAATGGCTGTGGGGGATGGAGTGGTAGGAGGAGGGAAGGGCAGCGGCTGTTAGGTGAGGGTGGGGTAGGCTTCCCTGAAGAGGTGGGTTTTCAGGGAGCGCCTGAAGGTGAGGAGGGAAGGTGACAGTCTGATGGATTGGGGTAGTGAGTTCCAGAGGATGGGGGAGGACCTGGAGAAGTCTTGCAGTCGTGCGTGGGAGGAGGAGACCAGGGAGCAAGATAGAAGGAGGTCCTGTGAAGAGCGAAGGGTACGGGTAGGGTGGTACCTGGCAATCAGGTCGGTGAGGTAGTTAGGGGCAGTGTTGTGAATGGCCTTATAGGTCAGAGTTAGCAGTTTGAATTTAATGCGTTGGGCAATGGGGAGCCAGTGGAGGGAGAGGCAGAGGGGGGTGGCAGAGGTGGAGCGGCTGGTGAGGTGGATGAGTCTGGCAGCTGAGTTCAGGATTTTCTGAAGCGGGGAGAGTTTGCACTGGGGTAGGCCGGTGAGGAGGGAGTTACAGTAGTCAAGGCGTGAGATAATCAGGGAGCGTACGAGTAGTTTAGTGGTGTCCGGGGGAAGGAAGGAGCGTATCTTGGCGATGTTCCGGAGGTGGAGCCTGCATGTGTTTGTAAGTGATTTGACATGAGGTTGAAAGGAAAGGTATAAGAGCGACAGGTCCTCTTTGTAGGGGTGAGGGGCAGTATGTGCAAGAAGGGGGCAAGAGAGGAGCAGTGTATACAGTGAGGCTCCCTCACTGGCTGTCATATGTCGGTGCCAGTTTTTAAATGCAATTGCTGGACTATTGCTCCCCTATGTGACAGCAACAAAATCATAAGTTAAAAAAAAAAAATATATATATATATATATATATATATATATATATATATATATATATGAAAGCAGAAAAAAAATACAAAAACAAACTGGAACCTCCCCACACACGCAGACATTTTGATTCGGCATATCAGTGCCCATCTGAGCTGCCTTTCAATGTCACCCATCAGTGCCAGTCAGTGCCACCTATCAGTGCTGCCAATCAGTGCCGCCTATCAGTGCGCATCAGTGCCACCTATCAGTGCCAGTCAGTGCCACCTATCAGTGCCAGTCAGTGCCGCCTAACAGTGCCAGTCAGTGCCGCCTATCAGTGCCAGTCAGTGCCGCCTATCAGTGCCATATATCAGTGTCATATATCAGTGCTGCCTTTCAGTGCCCATCAGTGATGCTTGTCAATGCCCATCAGTGCAACCTACCAGTCCCTCCTCATCAGTGCCCATCAGTGCCACCTATCAGTGTCCATCAGTGCAGTCTATCAATGCCCATCACTGCAGCCTCATTAGCGCACATCAGTGAAGGAGAAAAATCACTTATTTACAAAATTGTATAACAAAAACTAAGAAAAAACATTTTTTTTTTCAAAAATTTCAGTGTTTTTTTCGTTTGTTTAAGAAAAAATAAAAATCCCAGAGGTGATTAAATACCACCAAAAGAAAGCTCTATCTGTCTCAAAAAAATGATAAAAATATCATATGGGTACAGTGTTGCATGACCGCGCAATTGTCATTCAAAGTGCGACAGCGCTGAAAGCTGGAAATTGGCCTGGGCAGGAAGGGGGTATAAGTGCCCTGTAGGCAAGTGGTTAAACTCACTTAAAGCGGGGCTCCACCCAAAAGGAGAAGTTCCGCTCCTCAGCTCCCCATTAAGGATTGGGGAGGATTACCTTTGGGGGGCGGGTACCCAAATTTGACAGGTATCCGCTCCCACTTCCGGTCCGATCGCCTACCCTCCCTCCCTGTAGTCTTTGGGGACACGTGACAGGTCCCAGAAGACTACAGGACCATTCATGAAGCGCAGTGCTACTTGCGCATGCGCAGCTGGCACCCGGCTGTGAAGCCACAAGCTATCACAGCTGGGTGCCCGCACTGAAGATGCCGGCCTCCTGGAATACAGGACGGCCGATGAAATAGGCTGCAGGGAGGACACCACGGGATCATGGGACAGGTGAGTGGCTGTTTTTTAAAACTCAGCAGCTACAGTTTTTGTAGCTGCTGACTTTTATTTTTTTACAGGGTGAGTGGAACTCCGCTTTAAGAGTCCTATCTGTATTAAATTAGCCCCAGAACCTGTGTAAATAATATGTGTTCGGTTTTAAAGGGATGAGGTGGGAACCTACTGGGCAGCCTGGTTGAAAAAGGCTACACTATTGTTACACATGCAATCTAACAGAGCTTCAAACTCCCCGCCGTAGACTCTGGTACAATTTCAGGTCTTAACCAATCACAGCTCTCATTTCAACACCCTCCGAAGCACAAGAAGGAACGCAGATGAAAGGCGCGCTACTATTGGTTATTCTCTCAAGCCGTCTCCCTAAGGAACCCAGTAGCGGTAAGCTCTCTTGTTCGGGGAAGAGATTTCGGAGGACTCTAGCAGCGTCTTCCGGTGTGTGTTGTACACATCCGGTCGGCGAGGAAGACAGTGTGTAGCGGTGTAAAGTGACTGCGGTACACCGGAGGACGGTGTCTAGCGCTATGTCCGACACGTGGAGCTCCATTCAGGCTCACAAGAAGCAGCTGGACTACCTGCGGGAACGTCTGCAGCGGAGGAGGAAGGATGTCAACTCTCAGCTGGTGCTGGGTAATGTGCTGCCTCCCTTCATTCCCCAGTCTGCATGATATACAGCATCAGCTTTTATTCCGTTACAGCAGACAGTTTTTTTTTTAATTTGCTAATAAAAACGTAAAACAAAGTAATTTGTGACCTTTTTCTTCCAGCTGCCCCTTCTCTGCTATGTAGAGTGCCTGCCTCTCCTCTCATTCTGTACGGTCTGATCGGATGTGGGCACAGAGTAGTTCTTAGTAGGATGGCTTGATAGTCCCTTCACCATGCTGCCAGGGGATTTCCTCTGCTCACACTTCTTCTTTTTTTTTTTTTTTTTTTTTTTTTTTTGTTATAAAACGAAATATGGAGGTTGCCATGTCCGACAACCTGAAATGCTAGTAGCTTGGTTGTCTCTGATCTGTTCTTTTTTCAATCACTGGCCAGAAGTAAGCATTCAGAATGACATTTATACTTTTTCTGAATATCTACGGTGGGTCACTAGTTCAAGTATTTAAAGCCTAAGTTTAGGGTAAACTTTTTTTTTTTTTAAGAAGTCCAGTATTTAAAAAAAAAACAAACCCGCTTACCTAGGTGGCTGCATTTGTCCTCTGCCTCCTCTAAGAACAAGAACTGAACGATCAAAGAATGCTGATCACTCAGTCATCAGAGAGTTGGTGGCTGTCAGTCTCCGGCTCTTAGCTCGGCCCTGCCGGGCTGTGCAAGGGGGTGGGAGCTGCTATCTCAGGCGCTCAGAGGTACACTAGGAGGCTGAGCCAGCTGCTGGTCCAGGCATCTGGGTGGATCCCAGCAATAAAGTTGGGATCTCTCCAGAGCCTGGACTGGCTCAGTGATGACAGCAGACTTTAGCCTACTGTTGGTTGAATACAGGTTACAGAAGTGTGAAACAGAAGTACAGCCAAAAGAGCTTTCAGTACAAGGGATGGTACCTATATTTATTCCAAAGTATTCCTTGAGATAGTGCTGTCAAGAGTGCCAACTATGCCTTCTCTTTCCACCCAGCTTCTCCATTCATAGAACCCATGCTATAGCTTCCATGGATGAAAAGTGTTCTATCAATGGAAGAAATGGACCTTTCATTCACCTGTCTGTTCTCTATTCATAGATACATTTTCAATCATGGAAGCTGTAGTATAGGTTCTGTGAATGGAGGAGCTCAGTGGAAAGGGCAGGCATAATCTGCACTCTTGATAAGTGCTAGTGGCATTTCCCTTGGCTCATATTAATCCCTGCAGCATTGGAACATTACAGCTGTGTTGTATTGGGGATGGAGGATTTCAGCTATGAAAGCCAGCACAAGGGACCCTTCAGATTAAATGTAACTAGCATCCAGTGTGATGTTTTGTTTTTTTCTAAACTCTGCCTAAACTTAGGCTTTAAGTGTTTGGATCAACCTGGCAACTTTTTGTGAAGGTGGAGCAGTTGCAACCTTAATATTTTCTCAGTACAGCTTTAGGCTGCATGCACATTAGCTTTTTTTTATGAGCTCAAATGCTGATAATAGCTTTTTTTTGTGCCAGCTTGTAGTACCCCTTAGGGGTGTTAGCATTTTATTTGCATTTTTACAGTACGTAAAGAAAAAAAATGCTTGAAAAAAGATGTTAGGAGCATTTTGTTAGTGTTTAAAATGGTTTTCCAATTTTCAGAGTTTTTTCAGCCAGGAAAACGCTCCCAAAAACTCTAGGAAAGCACTTTTTTTTCTGTTCCTAAATGCTTCTACAATAAAATAGTGTGCATGGATAACACTATTTAGCATCAAGAAGCATAAAAATGCTCATAATAGATTCTGGGAGCTTAAAAAACCACTAGTGTGCACAGAGCCTTAATACCTAAATGGAATGAAACATTCCTGCTACAATGTATAAAGAGTAGGAGAACAGTTTGTTTTTTTTATTCTAAAGTGTATGTCAAGGCAAAAAGACTTTTCTTGTTTTGAATCATGTGAGGAAGGATTAGAACTCTGTCAGCCCTGTAGGTGAGGTACATAAGGATGTGGGGATCATTGGCCTATTACAGGCACATGGTCATTTTAAGTCAATGATGTCATGAGTATCCCTCACCCCTATTTGTATATGTGCAGCTGTGGGGTGGAGAATCTCCTGCCTGGACCTCATTGGCCCAGCAACGACTGCTAATTTCAAGTGTTCAGATCAATCCCAAGCCCAACCCTGTTAGGCCTCATTTACACTAGTACTTGATGGGCAATAAAAACAAGCAGTTGAGCTGCTTTTTTAGCACCTCCCAACTAGCCCCCTCCCCCTTTCTTCTTGCCTGGAGAAACATTGTTGGCAGGGTAAGAAATGAGGGGAAATCTCTCCAGTGGAGTTCCAGATAGTACTAAAAATCTGACAGGAGTTCTAACTCTTCCTCACCCTATCCAAAATTAGAAAACATGTTTTTGGCTTGACATTTGCTTTGAAAATCCTTCAATGATAATGACTTTATTAATACATAAAATGGTTTAAAATATCAAATATGACAGAAAATCACTTTCAGCAGGCTGCTATTAATGAGATATGTTATTATTGTGAATCATTGCACAGATTGGTAAACAATAACTGTCCACAGACCACTGTGTAATAACATCTGTGATTACATTTTTCTCTTCTTCCAGATCTCCAGAACCCAGATGCTGGGCTGGCTTCAGGTTTGCGTAGTGATAGCCCAGTCCCTTCTGCTCCTCCACAAACTTCAAAGCCATCAAGTGGACCAACAGAAGTAATTCCCGATCCTGAATTGGAGAGTAAGCTGCTACATCATCTATCAGATCTGTCACTTGTCCTGCCAGCAGACTCTGTATCCATTCAACATGCTATTGCTACGGTGAGAACTGCTCCATAGTTAAAGCACACCTGTGCACGTAAAAACTAAAATGATTCCCAGCTCCATACCAAGAACCCTGTGGTGCCATAGCTTGCATTTAGAGCTCTCCTCTGTGAAGTGTCCCTGGCACAGGGCTATGCTGTGTAAAAAATAAGGCAATTTGTTTTTTTCTGCACATCGAGAAAACTAAAGATCTTGTTTTTTTAATATATATCTATGACCAGAGGCATACCTCTGGCATGCAGTCCGCACCATTTGCCGACGATCTGGGGGTGCTGCAGAGCTGCCAGTAAAAAAAGTTGGGTGCCTGCTGATTAATCAGTGACTGCCTGGCATTTTTTTCTGTCTGTATTTCTTGATGCTGGATTGCATATTATATTTGCACTGCTTCTGTTATCCCAGCAACAATTCAGAGCGGAGTAAGGCTAACACTGCCAAGGAGAGGACTTCCCTCACACTGAACCGATGTTGTATTTGGGGTGGGAGAGGGAAGATCTGGACAAACTGGGGCTCTCTGTTGGGGAGGGGGAACTTGGGGGGGATGTTGTACTGAGGGGGGGGATTTAGGGCTGTGAGGGTGGGATCTGTACTGAGGCAGCATTGGGTCTGAAGATCTCTACTGACCCTAACCCTATAAGGTCTAACTGGATGAAAGTCTGTTAAAGCACATAAGCAAATGCCATATTTATTCCTTTTTGAAAATACAATTTAATCATTTATATGTCAGTGCTTATAATCTCCAGCTGCCACCTCCAGCCTACATGCATGAGCATGTAGCAGGTGATTCCTGTGGGCTAGTTTCCTAATAGTGACAACTGTGGAACATGCCTGATCATCAGCATGGCCATTTATAGTTTCTATTAGAAGTGTGTGAAAGGGTGACAACACAGAGGAACCCATGGGAGACCAGGACCAAGTGTTGTCACTCTATAACAAGAATGTCCTCTTCATGGTAGGACTGCTAAATTTTATTTAAATTAAAGCTGCAGATTTGAAAAGATTGAAAATAATTTTTTAAATTACATAATGCATTAAAGATTGAGAATTTAGTGATGGGGTTTACATCTACTTTAGGAGTTTGTTTAAGTGGCTGTTTACTCTAATTATAATTCTGGCCTTTTCCTTCAGATTTGATTGTCTCCTTGTATGGATATAATTTAAAAGGATTTGAGTGCTCTCACATAAATCCAAATGTGTGTCCAACGTTTCAGTTTTTCTTATTCATACTTTCATCTGTTATAACTGTTCTTGCTTTGTAGTTCAACTATGATCTGTCATATAATAAATAAATAATGAAATAAAAATTGTGTGTTGCAGCCAGAATTTCCTGTGTCACGCCAAGCAGTTGAAAGCCTTTTACAAAAAATTTGCTGCTCAGGAGCTTATTGAAGTTAAATGTGGTGAGCATGAAGATAACGACCGTCCAACTGTAGTTATTTATTCTGACCATTCCAAGCTTTCCGCAATGATGGGAGCTGTATCTGAAAGAAAAGGACAAACTACTGCTCCAGGAGCAAAAAAGAGAAGAATACAGGAGACGGATGGTGCTACCTCCTCATCTATAGCATCATCCTCTGGTACTTCAGGAGAGAAAAAACCATCCGAGCCCCATAAGAAGGCCCGCAAACATGCATCCCATCTGGACCTGGAAATAGAGAGCTTGCTAAGTCAGCAGTCCACTAAAGAACAGCAAAGTAAGAAGGTATGTTTATGCTTTTTCACAAGGCCATGCGTACTCTTTGAGATTTCTAAAATGTAAATTTTTTACTTTTTCTACCGTGCCAAGCTATGGCTTCAGACTAAATAGACAATAATATGTATGTACTTTTGGTCTGGATTTAATATTTTATTTTACTCTACTCTATGACTAATGTACATTTTTCTACTCTATTTCCTTTAATAAGTTGGCAGGTTGAAATTAGCAGTTTTTTGTGCACGTTTTTCTTCTTTTTTGCATTCCTTCAGTCTTTCTTCCCTTTGACATGTTAGGTAAGTCAGGAGATCTTGGAGCTGCTCAATACTAGCACAGCCAAGGAGCAATCCATTGTAGAGAAGTTCCGCTCCCGTGGAAGAGCTCAGGTCCAGGAGTTCTGTGATTATGGGACAAAAGAAGAGTGTATAAGAGCGTCTGGAGCAGACACTCCTTGTCGGAAACTACACTTCAGGTAAGGAAATATTGCTGAAAAAAATTGAAAAATAAAAAGGTCAGCAGCAACAAATACTGTAGTCGCTGACCTTTAAAAATGATGTTACTAGTCCCTGAAGTCCAGCGCTCCCTTCCCACAGCCAGTTCTTTTCACTGCTGCGGGATGTTGGCACCTCCATTTTGGGTTTGGGAGCTGGCTGTGGCCTTCTGAGGAATTGCAGCCGGCTCCCAATGCACATGTGCAAGATCACACAACGAAGAGAGACAGGTCCTGCAACCTCCTGGGACGTGTGAAGGGTCCCAGTAGGCTGCGGGTTGTGGAGAGTGCAGTAATTCTCACCTAGGTGAGAATGAGGAAGTTGAAGCAATTTCTGTCAAAAAGTACCCGCTCCGCATTTAAAAAAAAAAAAAAAAACATTCAAAAGTGTTAGGGGCGGGGGTGGGGAGGAGGATAAGTGGCACCATCACTTTTGAGTGAAGGTCCACTTTAAATTGATTTTGACAGATTCAATAATACGACAAAAGGACCCTGTATTTTTATATAGTATGGAAAACTGCACTGCCTTGCTTCTTCTTTTTTGGTCTTTTTGACTTTGTCACCAGTTTTTTTTTTTTCTTGTTTTTTTTTTATTAGAAGGCCCTTCAAAAGAATATTTACCTGACTCCAGACGTTTTGGATGCCTGCTCCATCCACCGCTCTCTGTTGTTTCATCTGCAGGCTGCCAAGTCAGTACAGAAAACACTAGTGTTGTAGTGGTCTGTTAGGGACCAGGCATTTGATGCACTTAGAAGGGTGACAGATGCTGAAGAGCCTTAAAGTGGTTGTAGAGTCTCAAGGTTTTTTACCTTAATGCATTCTATGCATGATGGTAAAAAACCTTCTGTGTGCAGCAGCCCCCCCAGCCACTCCTAATGCTTTCCTGAGCCCCATCTCAATCCAGCGATGTGCATGCTTTCTGGGGTCTCTCCCTCCTCGTTGGCTGAGACAGCAGCAAGAGCCATTGGTTCCTACTACTGTCAATCACAGCCAGTGAGCCAATGAGGAGGGGGCAGAGCCGAGCCACATTCTGTGTCTGAATGGCTCAATTGCCCCTGTAGCAAGTTGTTTGCTATGGGGGCAGGAGTCCCAGCAGGGGACCTGAGAAGAGGAGGATCAGGGCTGCTCTTTGCAAAACCACTGCACAGAGCAGGTAAGTATGACATATTTGTCATTTAAAAAAATATGCCTTTAATAACACTTTAAATAGCTGTCAGACCTTCAGTAAAATGCCTGAGTTGGCACCTACCGGAGGGGTAATAATAATCAGTCTCTGTTTGCAGGTAAATCTTCTAAGCAAACAATTTTCTTAGAAGACTTTCTTTAAAGTGGTTGTAAATCCTTACATATACCCAGTGAGTTGACTAACCTCTGGTGATACATAGAGATGAAACAAAATCCTTCTATATAAGTTGTACCTGTCTATCTGCAGTTCTCTATTCTCTACAGCTGTTCAAAGTGTATAATCTATACAGCTTGTCTGAGCTTTCAGAAAAAGGGTGTGAGGAGCTGAAATTACACTCTGCAAAGCTCAGTTAGAGCTGATTAAAGAGAAGGGACCCCCCCCCCTTCACACAGCACACAGGAACAGTGATGCTACCTCCCGTCACTTTTTTACATTTTGGTATCAGGAAAAATTGTCAAAAGTGACTCATGCAGATAGCAAATGAATGAGGTAGCAGACAAAAATCACACTTAGTGCTTTGGATTGAAACAAGTACACACTATAGAGGGATATGCTTTGTTAATATTTAATGTCAGAGGTTTACAACCACTTTAAGAAATTTGCAGGGTATACCAAATACTGGGCAGTAATATGTTTTCCATAAACCAGGACAGAAAAAAAATAAAAACGTCTATAAGAAACTGTACGTTGAGGTAGTTACATGGCTATAAGTGATCAAATAGTCTTTTGTCATTAATATACAGGTGAAACTCGAAAAATTAGAATATCGTGCAAAAGTTCATTTATTTCAGTAATGCAACTTAAAAGGTGAAACTAATATATGAGATAGACTCATTACATGCAAAGCAAGATAGTTCAAGCCGTGATTTGTCATAATTGTGATGATTATGGCTTACAGCTCATGAAAACCCCAAATCCACAATCTCAGAAAATTAGAATATTGTGAAAAGGTTCAATATTCTAGGCTCAAAGTGTCCCACTCTAATCAGCTAATTAAGCCATAACACCTGCAAAGGGTTCCTGAGCCTTTAAATGGTCTCTCAGTCTGGTTCAGTAGGAATCACAATCATGGGAAAGACTGCTGACCTGACAGTTGTGCAGAAAACCATCATTGACACCCTCCATAAGGAGGGAAAGCCTCAAAAGGTAATTGCAAAAGCAGTTGGATGTTCCCAAAGTGCTATATCAAAGCACATTAATAGAAAGTTATGTGGAAGTGAGAAGTGTGGAAGAAAAAGGTACACAAGCAGCAGGGATGACCGCAGCCTGTAGAGGATTGTCAGGAAAAGGCCATTCAAAAGTGTTGATAGCTTCCATGCCATGCCGCATTGAGGCAGTAATTGCTGCAAAAGAGGCCCAAACCAAGTACTGAGTACATACAGTTGTGTTCAAAATAATAGCAGTCAGACATCACTAACCTGATCAATCACTGTTTTTGGTAGAAATGATATTTCTACATGGCAAATAATTTACTAGCAGGTGTAGTAGAGTAATAGAAATCCAACAGACCCAACAGTCATGACATGCATGCTGCTGATTCTGTGTAATTGAATCACTAATTGAAAGGGGCATGTTCAAAATAATAGCAGTGTGGAGTTCTATTAGTGAGGTCATTCATTCTTTGAAAAACAGGTGGCAATTATTGCCCTTATTTAAGGAAGGAAGGCAGCAAATGTTGTACATGCTGGTTACAGTGCATTTCTCTCTGAAATTCTGAGGAAAAATGGGTTGTTCCAGACATTGTTCAGAAGAACAGCGTACCTTGATTGGAGAGGGGAAAATATATAAAGAAGTGCAGAAAATGATAGGCTGCTCAGCTAAAATGATCGCAGACCAGACCAACAAGATTGACGTTATGGAGTGGCCAGCCCAATCCCCGGATCTTAATCCAATAGAAAACTTGTGGGGTGGCATCAAAAATGCAGTTTCTGAGGCAAAACCAAGAAATAGAGAAGAACTGTGGAATGTAGTCCAATCATCCTGGGCTGGAATACCTGTTCACAGGTGCCAGAAGTTGGTTGACTCCATGCAACACAGATGTACAGCAGTTCTCAGAAACAGTGCTTATACAACTAAATATTCATTAAGTGATTCAAAGGAAAGCAAAATCTTCATTTTTCAGTCTATATACTGAATGTTTGAGTTTGTAAAGAAGAATACAAACACTGCTATTTTTTTGAACAGTCTAATATTCACTTTTCTTCACTTTTTTTAGAGGAACAACACAAATTTGATATATTTTTCTTCGTTTTGATTTGGAATAGAATGTGTAGTGTTCCCAATGCATTTGTGTGTATGGAAATAAAAGCTATTAGAAGGATTTTGAGCTTTATTCACTTTTTTAAACACACTGCTATTATTTTGAACACAACTGTATGCATGCTTATACTTTTCAGAGGTCCGATATTGTTCTATGTACAATCCTTGTTTTATTGATTGCATATAATATTCTAATTTTCTGAGATTGTGGATTTGGGGTTTTCATGAGCTGTAAGCCATAATCATCACAATTATGACAAATCACGGCTTGAACTATCTTGCTTTGCATGTAATGAGTCTATCTCATATATTAGTTTCACCTTTTATGTTGCATTACTGAAATAAATGAACTTTTGCACGATATTCTAATTTTTCGAGTTTCACCTGTACATGCTTGATTTATCTCCATCTGCATCCCTAAGTGCACATCCGTGTGGATCAGGTGCATGGTCAAATAGCAGTCTGTCAGGGATGCGATTGCCACCTGCCTTTGATTTGAACAGGTTGCCTGCACAGGTCTGCGTAGAATACCTGTGCATCCCGTACAGGTGAAGCTGACCTTGTATGGATTGGTACTCCCGTGTGCATTAGGTTTTAACATGAAGCTACACAAAGCACTGATCCAAGCATCGTCATCGACAAGAAATTGTCGCCTGCACTTTTCTCCTTGAATGTTGGAGATTTCTCAATAGACCTTTGTGGTGTTTAAATCTTGTACAGTCAGACGGGTACAAAATACAATGTGGAAGCAGGGGTGTTAGAAAATTGTATATCTATCCTCGCTACTCAACACTCCATCCACCCCCCTTCCGGTGAAGTTCCATAGAACTGTCTGTAATTAAAGTAATAGAACCTGTATTCAAACTTCAGCCAGTAATTAACAAGTGATGTCTTTTTCTGAAGTAAACACGTTCATTGTTGTGTATCTTTACATAGAGCTTATTATTTTGTGATTATGTGCATTTGTTTACTATATCATTTTTATAATAAACCTAAACTAGTAAATTACTGGTATTGTTTCAGTTCTCAGGGGTGTGGAAATTAAAACAGAAAAACAGGGGCCCAATCTACTTGTCCCTCATAACAATTTACTTGTCTTGATAAAAAAAAATTATTTTAACCAACACCATATTTAAAAGGTTTTTACTGATACGTGAGAAGGGTTGGTGTTTATGGCGACTTTCATGTTTTACCATTGCGCTGTTTTTATCTACAACTCACCTCCGTGCCTGTCTCCAGCACCGCACCCACAGATTGGGTGCTTGTCAGGAAAGGGGAGTGTCTTAATGCTCAGCAGAAGCACATCTGCTGAGTGGGTAAATGAGGCATGGCCCAGTGAGAAAAAAAAAAACCACGTTATTCCTTCAGGTCACCCTCACACACAAGAGCACTTGGGTGCTCAGTGCAAGTGCATGCTGAGTAGCCTAATCAAGCTTTTTCTGGCCCTTGTTTACATGTAACAATCAGTATTTTTTTCTATCTTAGAATCCCCAAATATTATATATTTTTTTTAAAATATAGCTGGATGTTACTATTTTTTTATGTCACACTCATTAGCGCAGCGGTTTTTTTCAAATTTGTTTGGAAAAAATACACTTTTTTTTATTGCAAAAAAATGCAAAAAAACACAATACATAACCCAGTTTTGGCAAAATATAAAAGATTGCGTTACGTCGGGTAAATAGATACCAAACATGTCATGCTTTAAAATTGTGCACACTGGTGCAACGGTGACAGACGTCTTAAATGTTACTATCTATAGGCAACACTTTAAATGCCTTTACAGGTTACCACTTTAGACTTACAGAGGAGATCTGGTGCTAGAAATTTACTGCCTGTGAACTGATGTTTGCAATGATACTACTCACATGTATGGGACGAGTGCTGTTTGAGTGCTGGACTGATGCATGCGTTAGCCTTTGCAGGCTAGCATGGGGGGACGGAGGCACTTCAACCACTTGCTCTCCAGAGGCTTTACCCCCTCCCTGACCAGGCCATTTTTTTTTGTGATACGGCTTTTTTACTTTAACTGACAATTACACGGTCATGCAACACTGTACATAAATGAAATTCATGTTCTTTTTTTTCCTACAAATAGAGCTTTCTTTCGGTGGTATTTGATAACTCTGTCCAGTTTTTATTTTTTGCGCTATAAACAAAAAAGACTGACAATTTTGGGGAAAAAGAAACAATATTTTTTACTTTTTTGCTATAAAACATACCCGATAAAAAAAAAATTTAAAAATCAAATTTCAGCATAAATTTAGGCCAAAATGTATTCTGCTACATGTCTTTGCTAAACAAAATCCCAATACATGTAAATTAATTGGTTTATGTGAAAGTTATAGCGTCTACAAATGGCTATATATATATAGTTTTTTTTTTATACTAGTAAAGGTGGAGATCAACGACTTATAGCAGGACTGCGGCGGTCATTCTGACACTGGGGGGGAACTGAATAACTGCCACTGACATCCCAATGACACTAATACAGTGATCAATGCTAATAAAAAGCACTGAGACTGTACTAATGACACTGGGCAGGAAAAGGTTAACATCTGCAGAGAAATACACATGTTATTGTTGGCAGGAGAGAGACCTGTGTTATTTACACACAGGTCTTTTCCTGTCAGTGTTGCTCAGCGATCGCCGGGTGCCGGCGGAGAATCTCCAGCCGGGACTCGGTGGTTGACCTCTGTAGCCACCAATGGTGGTGCCGGTAGGGCGGCGCATGCGCCCCCTACCCGGAATTGCAAAATCATATATATATTTCTGCTATAGGGCGGCGGGGAAGCAGTTAAACATTTTTTTTATTTAAAAGGAAAACATCCCTTGTGGCAGCAGTAGGCATTAGACAGGTACTCTTTATGGAGAGATCAGGGGTCTTTAAGACCCCAGATCCTGCCTCTGCCCTTAAAAGCATTTGATCACACCAAGATTGGTGTGACCAAATGCTTTAAATTTTTAAAAATGGCGCTTTTTGCTTCCAGGTAAACCAGAAGTGATGTAAGGTTATTGCTTGTGGTTCCCTATATCATAGAGTCGAACAGAGCGGTTCCTGTCTTTGTCTACCTCTGTGATCAGCTGACAGAAGTGCCGGCTTTTCGATTGGGTGTCCCTGTGGGTTGGGACAGCTGGGAGGGAGGGGGCATTCCCTTCCCACTGTTTGTAAAAGCAATCCTGCTGCTAGTTAGCCGTCTCTAAAAAAAATGGTTATGGGGATGATGCCTGCAGGTGCCGGCATCATCCCGGTATAAACCCTGCTACTTGCCCGCAGCAGGGCTAAATGTAAAAAAAAACCACCTGCCTGGCGCCTGAAACTGCACATCCCGGGCGTCAGGCGATAAGATTTGTGCATCCCTGGTTCTGATTTTCATAGACGGTATTGTATATTATTTGTCATTAAATAAATGACCTGTGTATAATGTAAAAGGTCTGCTTGTGTGTGATCAGATATTAAAACTTCTTATGTTTCATAATGTCTTTAGAGTCTCAAAATGTCCCTACTAAGAGAAGGTAACATCAAAATGACTAACTTATTCCATTTTGTAAAGAAAAGCAGAAACACTTCGACTTTAAAAATGCTATTGAACCCTTGCTTTCTATTCTATTCAGCAATCACTATGTGAAGTCTAGACTTTGTTGTGTTTTTTTTCCAGACGCATCATCAACCCACATACCGATGAGTCTCTGGGTGACTGCTCTTTCCTGAACACCTGTTTCCATATGGACACTTGTAAATATGTTCATTATGAGATTGATGCATGGGTTGAGCCTGGAGGAACAGCAGCTGGGATCGAATCTGCTCCAAGTCAAGATATGCCCCTAGTTAAGAGTGTAGGAGATGCAAGTGTAGGTCGTCTCTTCCCCTCACAGGTAACACTAGTGTTTGACTGCTATAAGAATATTCACATATTTAAATTTTTTTCCTGATGATTCATGTATTGTATGTCTTCCATACAGAAAGTTTATTATTGAATGCGTTTTGTGATTTCAACAGAAACAATTGAGTACTGACGTGATACTTTTTTTATTTGCATTAACATACAATTTTGAGGACAAGCCTTCGGGGTATGTCCCCTTCTTCTGATTTCAACCACATTGAAAACTGCATGTAGTTAATTTCTAATGCTGGCAAAAAAAAGAGAAATAGAAAAGAGTGCACAGATCTGGCACAATATCAAACTCTTTATTAGTCTAAATATTGTAGAATGCACTTACATTTCAACAGTTAATAGGCAACATTGAAACACAGCATGGGCCACTGACTGGGGCCAGGGGCCAGCGATCCTGTGAGTTAACAAACAGATCTTCTATTCCCAATATTGGAAGTCCCCAGCTGAAGCTGGCGGCTGGGATGAGTCACTGCTTATTAGGATGCCAACAGGTGCTGGCTCCCTAACAACCAGGAAGAAGCTGTCACATTTAGCAGTAGTAATACCATGGATAAATGTTTAGCTACACACTCATTTGTTTGGTCGTTGACACCGGATTTGCCTTTGACAGCATGCAGTGCAAACACCTCTATAATAATAATTCCCCTGCTGTTCGAATGCTGGTCAAAGCAAATGTTTTATAAATAAACCCCCAATATGTCCATTCTTTTTAATAGTCTATGAAATTCAATATATGCCCTGCATGCCAATACCTGTTCCCTAAACCCATCGCCGTGGGTACCGAGTTCACAGGAGCTGGGAGGGATACAGTACTGCCAGCTCCGACCATTGCAATGCAGTAGCATTGATGTAGAGTGGAGAGAAAGTGCAGGTGCTTGTGATCTCCTGTGCCAACCTGCCTATAATCTTTGGAATAGAGGATTTCTTTGTTCATTCACAGGGTCCTCAACTGTAGTCATTGTTCCTTCCCTCATAGAGATGCATGCTGTATTTCAAAGCTGCGTATTACCTGCTGAAATGTGGGTGCATTATACAACTTTTATACTAATAAAGAGTGAGTTTGATATTGTGCAAGATCTGAGTGCTCTCTCCCTTTCCTCTGAATTTTAAAGGATAAGTTCATCTTTGATAACATGTCATACCTGTATTTAACGTGTAACATGTTACTAAAGAGCACCTCCCTGTACCCCTCTGATCCCCTGTTGTGACAGCAGACGGGGTATCTTGCACCCACTATCACAATTTAAAAAGTGCATGGCCATGTGGGTGGAGTTCTGTGAATGAATGAATGAACTACTGTCTACCATTTCAGCAGACGGCTTGTCTGCTCAATGAACTGTAAGGGCACTAGTGAGCGCTCTCATAGTTCATGGATCTTCCTGCTCTCCAGTGACTGCCCGTATGGGAGGTAAGGGAAGACGGCTATAGTTAGATTCTGCAGGAGCCTAACATTGCACGTATGATCTGCTGATTGTGACTGCAGGCTGCAGAAAAAATTAATTACAAATGCACATTTTTTACCTGAAAAAATATGTGCATGTATTTTTTTTATTTAAAGGTGAACTTTGCCTTTAAGGCATTCCCCTATGTTGATGTCAAGAAATCTGCAAGAAATGCTGGTGTTTTTCTAATGATAATTCATTGTATCTGTGGAAAAATATGATTATTTCAGTACAGAACTAATAAGTTTTTTGGCAAAATGTTAATTTCATTCTCATTCACCTCATTACCAGCATGTTTCACCCCCTTCATTAGCAGACCATTTTTCAGTTTCAGATGTGTGATACTTTGACTGTTCCTCATTCATGTAACATTGTACCCACATTCATTTTATATCATTTATTGAGACAGACTTTTTTGGTGATATTTAATCACCATGTTTTTATGTTTATATAAAGGAAAAAAGACCAAACCATAAAAAAAAAAAAGTTTCCTCTACTTTCTGTTATAACTGTACAAAATAAAAATGCTAGGGCAGTACAAAAATCCCCAAAATGATGCCTTTTTATTAAGTAGATACCACAAGGTGATCTTTTTTTTTTTTTTTTTTTTTTTTTTCACACAATTTTTTGGAAATGAAGAAACTTGCCAGTATTGAGGGATTAAAACATGGAGCTTGGTTATTGTGCAGGTCATACAGAGAGAGATCAGATAGTGAAGGGGTTAATGTACAGTACTCATACAGGGTATGATGGCAGGGGTGTGATAGTGGCAAGTATGTGTGGGAACTCTCATTCTTTCTGAACTCTCAGACAAGCATTATAATCTTGAATAGTTTTGAACGGATATAGAAAAGAGAAGACTACAGATAGGCAAGTACAACTTATGTGAGATGATTTCTTTCATCTGTCTTTGTATCACCTGAGGCCAGTCACTTCACTGGGTATATGTATGGGTTTACAACCAATTTAAATTGAAGTTCGGACTGACATGTCTCACTAAAAACACATCTACCACAAGAGCTAACGATCCCCAGATCATAAAACCTCCCTCCAGGGGATCCTTTGCATGGAGCATCTGTCCCCATCTAATTCAAGACTTGCTAAGCAGTGCTGTCTTATAGCTAGCCCTGCCCACCTGCTTAGCTATCTGACAACCCTGATCAAACAAGAGGGATTTCTGCTGACCACTGAAGAGGAAAGATGTGACAGGCAGTGCACACAGAGACCACACACACAGCACGCACCTAATCACTCCTGTTCACACTGAGCCTGGAGCTGCAGCCTGCTAATCAGGGAGCAAAGCAAGCAGAAACTGTCATCTTGTGTTGTAAATGATTACAGCTGGAGACGAGTGATTTCATTTAGAAAAATACAAGCTGACAGCAGCACAAGCCAGGTTCTACACTAGGCTGTCTTGAACAAGTGTAGTAACTGGTGTGTGCTGTTGTCAGCTTGTGCTTTTCTCCAGCTACAGTCGTTCACAACATAAGGTGTTGATTTCCATTCTCTCTGTGCCTTGAATAACTGACGGCAGTTCTGGACTCTTTGTGTACTGAACAGGGAAAATGAGGATAGTGCTGCAGAATGGAGAAGGGCAGGGCTCAGCGCTAGCTGTATATCCTCTGTCCCTATTGGAATACCCATATTTTTGGCTTTGGGGGGAGGTGGAGCTATAGTCAGAAATTACAGAAAATACAGTTGTGTTCAAAATAATAGCAGTGTGTTGAAAAAAGTGAATAAAGCTCAAAATCCTTCTAATAGCTTTTATTTCCATACACACAAATGCATTGGGAACACTACACATTCTATTCCAAATCAAAACATGAAGAAAAATATATCAAATTTGTGTTGTTCCTCTAAAACAATTGAAGAAAAGTGAATATTAGTTCAAAAAAATAGTAGTGTTTGTATTCTTCTTTACAAACTCAAACATTCACTATATAAACTGAAAAATGTTTGAAGATTTTGCTTTCCTTTGAATCACTTAATTAATATTTAGTTGTATAAGCACTGTTTCTGAGAACTGCTGTACATCTGTGTTGCATGGAGTCAACCAACTTCTGGCACCTGTGAACAGGTATTCCAGCCCAGGATGATTGGACTACATTCCACAGTTCTTCTCTATTTCTTGGTTTTGCCTCAGAAACTGCATTTTTGATGTCACCCCACAAGTTTTCTATTGGATTAAGATCCGGGGATTGGGCTGGCCACTCCATAACGTCAATCTTGTTGGTCTGGAACCTAGATGTTGCATGTTTGCTGGTGTGTTTGGGGTCGTTGTCTTGTTGGAACACCCATTTCAAGGGCATTTCCTCTTCAGCATAAGGCAGCATGACCTCTTCAAGTATTCTGATGTATTCAAACTGATCCATGATCCCTGGTATGCGATAAATAGGCCCAACACCGTAGTATGAGAAACATCCCCATATCATGATGCTTGCGCAACCATGCTTCACTGTCTTCACAGTGTACTGTGGCTTGAATTCAGTGTTTGGGGGTCGTCTGACAAACTGTCTCCGGCCACTAGACCCAAAAAGAACAATCTTACTTTCATCAGTCCACAAAATGTTGCGCCAATTCTCTTTAGGCTAGTCAATGTGCTCTTTGGCAAATTGTAACCTCTTCAGCACGTCTTTTTGTCAACAGTGGGACTTTGCGGGGCTTCTTGCAGATAGCTTGGCTTCACATAGGTGTCTTCTAATTGTAACAGTACTCACAGGTAACTTTAGACCTTCTTTGATCTTCCTGGAGCTGATTGTTGGCTGAGTCCTTGCCATTTTGGCTATTCTTCTATCCATTCGAATGGTAGTTTTTCGCTTTCTTCCACGTCTTTCAGGTTTTGGTTGCCATTTTAAAGCATTTGCAATCATTTTAGCTGAGCAGCCTATCATTTTCTGCACTTCTTTATATGTTTTCCCCTCTCCAATCAACTTTTTAATCAAGGTACGCTGTTCTTCTGAACAATGTCTGGAACGACCCATTTTCCTCAGAATTTCAGAGAGAAATGCACTGTAACCAGCATGTACAACATTTTGCTGCCTTCCTTCCTTAAATAAGGGCAATAATTGCCACCTGTTTTTCAAAGAATGACTGACCTCACTAATAGAACTCCACACTGCTATTATTGTGAACATGCCCCTTTCAATTAGTGATTCAATTACACAGAATCAGCAGCATGCATGTCATGACTGTTGGGTCTGTTGGATTTCTATTACTCTACTACACCTGCTAGTAAATTATTTGCCATGTAGAAATATCATTTCTACCAAAAACAGTGATTGATCAGGTTAGTGATGTCTGACTGCTATTATTTTGAACACAACTGTATATATATATATATATATTTTTTTTTTTTTTTTTTTTTTTTTTTAACATCCACTGCTCGGATGTTAATGGGGACAAGTGCTACATTCACAGAGTTCCCTGTGGGATTTAACCATCTTTTTTTTTTATCTGGTGATATTTTTTTAAAACACGCAGTTAATAAGTATTCTTGGGCATGTTTTAAATCGACATAATGCTAATTTATGTGCAAGAGTATGGGTCAAACTGCAGTCTGATATCTTTTCCATAATCTGTTTCACTGCTCTTATTCGAGATTACCTTGCTTTGTAGCAAAATTGATAATCTCCTTTCAGATTCTGTAGTCTCTGTTGGTGGACAAAAGCTGCAGAATAAGGGCCTGTGTCGCCAGGCTTTGGGTTTTTACATCGGTTTGGCATGATTTGCTTCTGAGATCACTGTCTCCCTTTTTCTTTTTCTTTTTTTTTTTTTTGAAATGCAGATAGAAACAGCTGCAAGCGAGTTGCCAGGCTGGACAAAATTGCTGATATATTGCAGATTCTGCACCAAAGCTTAGGTTGCATTTAAGTGTCCTCAAAAAACTACACTCCCTCGGCCTCAGAGATTCTGCTCTCTCCTGGCTCTCATCCTACCTGTCACAACGCTCTTTCAGCGTTACCTATAATGCCACCACCTCCCTCTCACTCCCCCTCTCTGTTGGGGTCCCTCAAGGCTCTGTCCTCGGGCCCCTTCTCTTCTCCATCTACACCTCCTCCCTTGGCCAACTCATACACTCTCACGGCTTCAACTACCACCTCTATGCCGACGACACACAAATCTATCTCTCACCCCCTCGGTCTCCGCCCGAATCACACACCTGTTGAGCGACATATCAGACTGGATGTCGCTCCACTTCCTTAAACTGAACCTCTCCAAAACCGAGTTTCTTGTCTTCCCTCCAGCCCGGACACCACCCCCCATTGACTTCTCCATCATGTCCAACAACGCCACCATCAAACCCGCCCCGCAGGCCAGAGTACTTGGTGTCATTTTGGACTCCAACCTATCCTTCCAGCCCCAAGTCCACTCTTTAACAAACTCGTGCAGACTCCACCTCCGCAACATCGCCAAAATCCGCACGTTCCTAACTCCAGAAACCACTAAACAGCTCATCCACTCCCTCATCATATCACGACTCGACTACTGCAACTCCCTCCTCACTGGCCTGCCTCGCCGCTGGCTATCCCCGCTTCAGTCCATCCTGAATACGGCTGCCAGACTCATTCACCTTTCCAACCGCTCCGTTTCCGCCACCCCCCTCTGCCAATCCCTCCACTGGCTTCCGATTGCGCAACGGATCAAATTCAAAATCCTAACGCTGACGTACAAAGCTGTCCACCATAGTGCCCCGAACTACATCACTGACCTAATATCCAAGTACCGCCCAACACGCACACTCCGCTCCTCACAAGACCTCCTTCTCTCTAGTTCCCTGGTCTCCTCCTCCCATGCCCGCCTCCAGGACTTCTCCAGGGTGTCACCCATCCTCTGGAACTCCCTGCCCCAACCCATCAGATTATCACCTACTCTCCTCTCCTTTAGGCGCACCCTGAAAACCCATCTCTTCAGGGAAGCCTACCCCACTCCCTGCTAGCCTGCCGACCTCCTCCACTCTTCCTACCACTCCATCCCCCACAGCTATCTCCTCCTGTGCCACCATCCCCTCCCTCCTAGATTGTAAGCTTGAAAGAGCAGGGCCCTCGATCCCCTCATGTTTTGCATTGTATTGGTATTGTTCTGTCACATGTTCTGTCCCCCTTTGTAATGTACAGCGCTGAGCGAACTATTGGCGCTTTATAAATACTGTATAATAATAATAATAATAAGTGTGAACAGGGCACATAAAAACAATTGTTTCCTTTGCACCCTTGCAGAGATTGCCAGGTTACTAGTGCAGAAAACTACTGATCGCCACACAAGTGTGAACAAGTTGTAATAGGAATATTTGATCTGCAGGCGATTTGCAGCCCATCAACACAAGCCCTAAATCAGCTCTGCCCTGAGAATATAAAGCTAATGCAGTGAGAAGCAAGCTATATATCAGAACATGTTTTGATACTAGTGTGGTAGAGCATTTTTATATTTAAATCTGCTAGTATGATTTAAAGGCTAAATTCACCTTTAAAAAAAGGGGAAAAAAATGTGCATTTATTAATTTTTTCACAGGAACCTGCAAAGTATTACGCTCATGATCAGTGGACCACGGTGTAATGTCAGGTTCCGGCAGACACATCTTTCAGCTCTCTGCCTGTACCTCTGTACTGGATGTCAGTTGGAGAGCTGGAGAAAGTGTCTATGGAGTACGAGTGTGCCACTTGTACTCCATTGAGAACCACAAGTTTATCTGCAGTGGTGGCAGACAGTTTATTCATTCACAGATCTTAGAGGGGGTGTTGCCTAGCAACTTATCACGTTACCCCCTAAATATGGTTGCTGTAGATTGCATTAGCCTTTAATAGCCATGATAGCTGTATTAGCCTGACTTTACCCAGTGTAATTTTTGGGTCCTTTGTTAATCAGTGGATCCGGTGTGATATCCGATACCTGGACATGAGCATTCTGGGCAAGTTCTCTGTGGTAATGGCTGACCCACCATGGGATATTCATATGGAACTACCATATGGGACCTTAACAGATGATGAGATGAGAAAATTGCAGATTCCAGTGCTGCAGGACGATGGATTCCTGTTCCTCTGGGTAACTGGAAGGTAAAACCACTTTTTTTCTATAAGCACTAAGTGGCCTCTTTTGTAAAGGGTTAAGATAAGAATTGCATGTTTTCTTTTTTTATTTTAAGAAAAAGACATTTGATTTCCACTGCAAGTTCTTTGTATTTTGTTTTGTTTTTTTTATTAGGATAATGTTTATTTATCAAAATGTAGAAAACAAACAAGCCTAAAACAACAGACTCATACAAAAACATACAAAACAAAAAGCAGGAGTTCATAACATAGCATTGGTAGAAGCATAGTGAAGGTGGAGCACACTCAATCGGTGTGCTCCAAACTCTCAGTGCACTATAAACATAACATATACTGTATAAGATCGAACAACTGAAGAGCATATAGAATCATCATAAGCTCATCAAGAGCATTTACCGTCTTCCAAGGTGTTGTTGTTTAAATTGTATATTATATAGTATTTTTTTTTTTTTTATATTAAAAAGGGTATGGCAATATTGGTAATGGACATCTTTATGCCATGCAATTTCCAAAATCATTAAACAGGGATAAAAGAACAGAACAATGGTAAATGTATTTAACTGTCATATGACTCTTGTCCAAACAATAAGTGTATAAAATCTTCAGTTGCCAAGGAAGGAAACAATAAGTCTAGCTGAGTAATCTGTCAAGAATCAACTGTGTAAGGGCTGAGCATGGAATTTCCCACCAGGCATCCCAGATTTTTAAAAAATGTGCTAGGGCAACCTCTATGATGGTATACTAATTTTTCTTTTGAGTGAGGTATTCATCATTTGCTTTCAGGGCGGAGTGGTGAAATCCAATTTTTTTACTGCAAGTTTATGTGCTGTAAACAATAATCGAATGACAGCAATATACACATATGGAGTATACTGTTCTTCATCCTGCCAACTCAATACTCAAATCCTAGGGTCAAATTGTAAACTAGCAGAAAAGACAGTATTGACAGTGTCCAGAATAAGCGTCCAGTAACAAACAAGTTTGGGCCATTTCCAAAGCATGTGGATCCGTGTCTATTTCACAACTCTGACATAAAGGGAGTCCCTCCTATGCCTTCTGTGTACAACAAACGTGTTCATTTCTGTGAGGTAGCAAAACTTGTAGTCATACTGGCTATAGAATGCTGTAGTATTGTGGTGTACATTGACGAGATCTGGTAGAGGTAACTAGTTGATCAAGCATAGAGAGGACCATTAAGGACCACACCTAGATTGTGCAACTTCTTTGTTAACATATCTGCATGTTAGAGCTCTTACCCTATTGCACATGTCTGAGCTGTGACGATGCTCAGTCCTGCATGGATGTCTAACTTCAGGGAAAGCCCTGCCTGCCCTTAACTGAAGTAAATATCATGACCAAGTTATCAGTCAAGATTATGGATAACCTTTAAAAAAAACAAAAGAGATTTCTATTGATTTCTCTGATTTTGACATATGAGAGTGACTTATCAATTTGAGAAATGACATTTGGACAGTTCAATACAGTGCATTCATAAAGTTTTCAGACCCCCTTCACTTTTTAAAATTGTCATGTTGCAGCCTGATACTACAGTTGTTTAAATTCAAATTTTCTAATAAATCTACACGCTGTACCTCATAATGCCAAAGTGAAAACAGAATTTTAGAAATGTTTGCAAATGTATGAAAAAGGAAAACTGAAATATCACATTGGCATAAGTATTCAGACCTTTTGCAACAACACTTGACATTTAGACTCGGGTGCCTCCTGTTTCTCTGGATCCTTGCTGAGATGTTTCTACACCTTGATTGGAATCCACATGTGGTAAATTAAATTGATTGGACATGATTTGGAAAGGTACACACCTCTCTATAAAAGGCCTCACAGCTGACAATGCATACTGTATCAGAGCAAAAGCCATGAGATCAAAGGAACTGACTGCATAGATCAGAGACAGAATTATTGCAAGGCACAGATCTGGGGAAGGCTACAAAAAAAATCTGCATTGAAGGTTCCCAGGAGCACCATGGCCTTTCCTAATTCTCAAATGGAAGACGTTGGCACAACCAAGACTTTTCCAAGAGCTGTTCGCCTGGTCAAACTGAGCAATTGGGAGAGGGGCCTTAGTAAGAGAGGTGACTGAGAGCCCGATGGTCACTCTGACTGAGATCAAGAGATCCTGTGTAGAGATGGGACAAAGTTCCAGGACAACCATCACTGCAGCCCTCCATAGATCTGGGCTTTATGGCAGAGTGACTAGATGGAAACCTCTCCTCAGTGCAAAATACATGAAAGCTCCCTTGGAGTTTGCAAAAACATAAAGAGGGTCTGAATATTTTATGAATGCACTGTACATAATGCCTATCCAACTACTTTAAATTAAAGAGAACCTGCACTGTGAATGTATGTAGACTTCTACTGCTGACCTCTCCTGAAAATTCCAATTACCGTGGCTGTCAGTAGCTTCATTTGCTAACCAGAACAAATATGCAGATCGGTAGCGCTAACTTGCTTATTCAATATGCTTGTTTTATGTCATTAATTCAGATATTGCAGACAGACATGTACAATTTGCTCTGTACTGTATTCTCTTTCCTTTTTAAAAGTTAAGAGATGTATGGGCTTAAGAAAAAAAAATGCTCACCTAGGTGGATGCAGTATCGATTTGATGCTGAATCTGTTCCCCGCCAGCTCTGCAGTGAGAACTGAGAGATCAAACACTGCTGATTGTTTAGTTCTCCACTTCGCTCTGAGCAGAGAGCCGTGACTGTCAGCCTGGATCTGCTCTGTGACATCATTTGACAGCTGACTTTAGTCCGTTGTTGGCTGAAAATGGATCACAGCAGTGCAGAATGAACACACGCCTGTGATCCATAGAAGTACAGCCAAAAAAGCTTTGGCTATACTTCACCTTTTATTTCCCACCTTACTTTTATGAATTGGTAGAAAAAAAAAAGTGCCGAAAAGTATCAAAAAGCCATCAGAATGAAATGTTTGATTTTTCCTGGTGCTTTGTAAATATTTCCTTTAGCATGAGGTGATAGGATAGCTGTATTCTTCCCCTCTATACCAGTAGTTCCCAACTTTGGGGTATGCATACCACCAGGGCTTTGGGCAGAAGAAAAAAAATATGGTGGTAGCTGGAGCAAATTGGATAATGCTTTATTGGGGTTTTTTGCCTTCCTCTGGATCAACTGTGGGCATAGGATTGTATATATGATTGGATATATTGTATTGGAATGTATATTGTATAGGAGTGTTTGAGCTAACAGCCTGATCCTGTAAAGATCCCTTTCTGGTTTTGCTTAAGGTGGTGTTGAGGCCTAGAAATTCATTCCTTCCTTCCTACCTACCTAAGGTAATTTTGGCCTTTCACCTTAACCATGATATTATATTTCTGTGTAATGCTCCAGTTTTTTTTTAGAAAGAGATTTCCCCCCATTGTCTGAATGTTTTTCGGTCTGTGAGAGTTTATATCTCAGCCACTGCTTTTTTCAGAAACACTGACTCTTTTTGACATTTTTGATGGTCTCCATAAAGTTAAACCAGATTTTCATTCCACAATTTCTCAGTGACACACAGACCATTATCCAAGCTTATGGTCTTAATGATAGGGTTCTACCCTTTCTTGTCAAGGCACAGGTTACTACTGTAGATTAGGTTAGCTTGGGTTTCTCATGTAGAAATGTTGCTTTAATATAACCATCCCTAGCAAATCACTGTTTAATTTGTTTCATTTTATAGAGCTATGGAACTGGGCCGAGAATGCTTGAAGCTGTGGGGGTGAGTGTATGATACTGTCAGTTATTTTGCTTGTGACTGATGTTCTTTTCTAACTGGAGTAATCATTGGATGACATATTTACAGATACGAGAGAGTGGATGAGATAATCTGGGTGAAAACTAACCAGTTACAACGGGAATTATTCGAACTGGACGAACGGGACATTGGCTTAATCATGGAAAAGAGCACTGCTTGGTAACTGTTTACTGTTTGTCTAGCTATTCTTTTCATAGCAGCATGAACTTATTTTTATAAATCTGTTTATTACATTCAGATACAGTACATCCATATAAGTATCATCATCTGCATTTATTAAACTAGAAAAAAGTTAAATTATGGGAACCTCTTTCTTCATTGTCCCAAATGCAGTTTCAGGTATCTGTGGATAAGGCTTTTTTTTTTAAAAAAAAAAAGTGCGTGTTGAGCAATATTCACAGATAACTACAAATTGTCCAAGTTGGATATCAATCTATGTTGATCAGTTTGCACAGCTTTAATTGCTTTTCAAGTGTTTTTCCTAGGCTGCATTAAAACCAAGAACCCATTTGCCAGTCCAAAGTTACAGGTGGTGTTTGATTCTTTTGGGCATTTTCAACTATTAACAGTGTATGTTAGTTTATAACTTATTTATGAGAGATTGGAGGGTTCGTTGCAGCCTAATTTGGTAACTTATTTCAGAGAGAGAGAGCAAACATAGTTCTGTCTGTTCAGCCTCAAATGGGAATGCTATACCTTTATTTTGTACCTATTGGCTTACACACTGGCGCCTCTCATTGGCTTTCTTCACTGGATCCAAGCTCTGCACTCATAAATTATCCCCAGCTGGAACACAGTTACTCCTGCTTTCTATTCCAGCCACAGAGACTGAAGTTCAGGACTACTGCATTTTACAGACCAAATATTATTCAATTTTTTACCTTATAAAGTAACCCAGATTTTGACAAAACTGCAAGAATGATCTTTTTTTTCCACTCAGGAAATCTGATTTCCGAACTAGGAAATATTTCTGTACACACAGGATAATATAGGTCCATATGCTGTCCATTGCTCTGAATTTCCCAGTATTTGGTAATTTGTATGAGACTACTGCCTCTGGTCAGCGTGGTCTTGTTGCACTAGCTTCGTGACAATGCTGACAATTGAGAATCTTTGCTTTGTTCTGGAAGCTGTCCCAGAAGGAAGGAGCCTCAAAAGGATTCTCATTGGTCAATGCAATCACTTGACCAGTGCTGACCAATGTGCACTCGCCATTACTTGTATTATGCGGTTTTAATGTGCCAGACTGTTATACTGGCTGGAGAGGGTGATAAAAGATGGGGAACATATAAGGTTCACGCAGACCAGGGAGATGGGAGGATGTTTTCCTTAGTTCAACTTTGAATTATTATTTTTTTTTTTTTTTTTTTTGAAAAGGTGAACAAACTCTTTAAGCCAGGGAGCTTTATGGAGGTATACCTTCTGGGATGAGCGCATCTGATGTTTCTTTTGTTTTCATTTTAGGTTGGTGTGAAAGGAAACCCACAAGGGTTTAATCGGGGTCTTGACTGCGATGTAATTGTGGCTGAGGTACACTGAGTCTTCTTCTGTTGTATAGATGTAATAAAGGTGTCCGTAGACTTCAGACTCCATAATAATAATGAATGCATGGGCAGGGAAACGAACATAAATCTCATCAGAATTTTCTAGACTACTTTCTGGAAGAGGTTTCTGTTCTGTTCCCATAACCCATATTCCCATAATGGACTGCTACTCTCAAGCAATGTTTTCAATTATTAAAGCAGTGTGAATGTTTGAATAAAGGAGTAGCCCATTGCTTTCAACCTGTAAATTTCAGTTGCTTGATTGTTTCTGGCTTCAGTACTTTAAAAGAGAAGCATGGCCAAAGCTCTTTTGGTCCTACTTCTTTTGTGGGTCACGGGTTTCCTGCAGTTTGACTTTTATGATCTGCAAGATCTGTGTCTTTAAAGGAAAAGTGAAGTGAGAAGGCCTCATGCTTACTCCAGCTCATTAGTTTATAAGTACTGAAGCCATAGATATCCAGGGAGTAGCATTTTAGGAGGCAAATTGAATATTATCAACCCCTCATGCCTCCTAAGTGCAAGTTTCCTTTATTTTATGCACATAAATCTTGGCATATTTGACTAAACAAGAACTGTATTTTAAATCTTATAGGTTCGTTCTACAAGTCACAAACCTGACGAGATTTATGGCATGATTGAGCGTCTCTCACCTGGAACTCGCAAGATTGAGCTCTTTGGACGACCCCACAATGTTCAGCCAAATTGGTTGGTGCCAACTTTCATAAATCTGAATAGTGCTGCAGAGCATTTCGATTACATTATTTACATATTGTACATGGTAAACTTTACAATACAAAGGTCGTGTTTTTCTTAGCCAGTAATCTGCATATGTTGTAATCTAAACACTGGTATTATTTTTAGTGTTTGAGCTGTTTTCTGTCTCCTGCAAGCATGCTGTAATGACAATCATTCAGAATGTATATCAGGCTTCCATAAATTTCCATTTCCATTGAGGAACACGGGAATTTAGATACAGTCAGTTTATACTGCAGGAGGATTGGACACTAGCAAACAGAAACATTGTAAGCCAGCCCACAGTATAACCCCTGCTCTACCCAGCAGCATGCTTCAGTTCTTTGCTAGTGTCCGAGGAGAATTCCTCTTCCATTGATTTCAGTGAAGATTCCTCACTACACCAGTGCTTGAGCTACATGGCCTGGCTTTGCAGGCAGTACTCAGATTCCGCTGAACTGGATGTACAGGACTGTCTTGGAATGTGATCTTTGGACACTGGGCTCTGCATTGTGGTGCTTTCAAGACCTGAATATACTGGTAAAAGTTAGCTGGTGATCACTCTCCAGTTGCTGAGCTATTATACAGCCCCAGAGCGAGACCCTGTCTCTAAAGACTCACTTTGTAAATAAGGCCTGTTGGGCTACAGCACTGGGGACCACTTCCCTATGTGCACTGCTAGACACCTTTTAAATTTTGTGCTATTCTGGTTTCACCGAAGTAAGAGTTATGCAGCCTTTTCTCATCATGATTTTGGAGCGCAGTACCCAAACTTGCTGGACTGGATGTTGTGGGGCTAGCCTAGAATGTGACCATTGAACACTGGGTTCCAGTTGTCCTTTCTAGACCCACATATGTTAGTAAATTTTAGTTGTGGAGTACTCGCCAAATCCAGGGCCATGGCATTGGTTTTACACTTGGTCTGTCTCTATAGACTCACTCTTTTGAGCAAGACTGGTTGGACTAAAGCATTGGGAGCTACTGCGCTATTAGCACTGCTGGGGCCTGCCCTCAGACTTTTGAGGGTTAGCTGCCTTACCACTGCACAGGTGTAACATGTCTGCACATTGACACGGAGAGGACAGTCCCACTGCTACAGTTGATCCCAGCCCATACTCCTCTAATGGTATTGAGGGCATCTACTCAGTGTCCTTTGAGGGAACCAGTGTCTGTAATCTGGAACCTGATACCCCTGTATTTAAAGGATCTTTTTTTTCCTGAGTCTTCCTCAGCTTAATCAGGGGGAACAAGTCCCCTACCTCGTCCTCAGGAACTTCCACATCCATTCAGGACTTTTTGACCATGTGCTCTTAACTCTTTACACACATTGACCACAGAGGCTCAAATTGCACTTCTGCCTAATTCCCTGCAGAGTTTATGACTGACCGTCCAAAGGACTTAGACTAGGTTGAACCACTGGTTCCTGTGAGCATCTCCGACTCAGTCCCATCAGTCTTTTTCTGAATGGACTGTTTCTGAGGCACCACAGTCTCCTGCCATCACCTCAGAATTACAGGGAGTCACGTTGGGCCATATTGATGCAGTGCATTCTACTCTGCCTTTGGATAACCAACCTGCTGTCTCCAGTATTGTGTCTTTAAAAGCTCCTACTCTGCAAAGCTGGCTTTCCCATACATATTACACACACATCTGTCATACCATATCAGATTAGTTTAGTTCCTTTCAAAGAAATCTTTCCTCTCGGAGAGCAGGTGCAGTAAATGCTTTATGCTTCAACTGTGCTGGCTTATTACAAGCATATGTCTATTCAGGTGTTTAGTTGACTACAGTTGTGCTGCTGGGAAGGTAATAGTATATCCAAAGAGTGTTTCATTCGGTTGGCATTCAGGGGACGTGGTATCTAGAACCCTGCGCTGAACACCATGATCAGTAATGTCACAAGAGGCCAGAGCATGCCCCTATCCCACTGTAGGAGATATAGGGAGATGGTGGCTGAATTCCACTCTTCTCCTTCCTCTACGTCTGCAGTTGGTGTCCCCATGCTCATTAAGCCTCGCTCTCACTTTTGGTCATCTAACCCTTACTGCATGAAGGTATACCCCCAGTTCTAAAAGCAGGAAGCTAATTGTGCATTCCAGTGGGTTCTTGGGTAGTTTTCCTGTCTAGAATTTGTGCAGAGAGCCCCCTTTTAGCCCAAGCCTAATCCTTTCACTCTTGCACCCCCATTAGTTGCTTTTCATTGTCTCTCCTGTGTTACTGTACAGGACCTTGCACCTTGCCTAGTCTGTCTTGGTTTTTTTCCACTCCAGGACCCCATTGCTTCTGTACTTATGTTACCTTGGGTTCTGGAGCTGTGCTGTATCTGGGCCTCCACTCCCTGGAACATGAAAAGCCACTTGTTGTACATGATACTCTTTAGGTTCCATCTTTTCCAAAGTGCCTCCCTGACCTACATGGTTAACTGTGATCCATTGTAGCTTTTTCTATTTGGATCAGGACCTGGAACTTCAGTGTTGATTGGTTACACCTGCTGCTTCCCTGAGAATTGGTTCTTGTGTTTTGTCTATTGTCCTCTCCTGGCATCCACATTGTGGAATGCTTGGGTGACCTCTTGTAAAGAGAGTCAGCTTTATGGATTCTTGTAATCCTTCCTGAAGGACCTAACTCCTGTAAGATCTGGCCAGATCACACAGTTGACTGCATTTGGACATCATGAGAAGGAAAAAGGGACTTTTGTCCTTAGTATAAAATCCATTTTTGGACTCCAGTGAGGGACAGAGGTGCCCACCTCCCTGTGTTTTTGTGCATGCCTATAATACTTCTTTTCCATAAAACCTAGACATGCTGGGTAAAGGAGGGAGTTATAATGGGGGCTGGCGTATGATATTTTTGTTTATCAGTATCCAGTCCTTTTGTAGATGGCTATATCTGAATTCCTGTGTCCCTTTAACCACTTGCCCACTGGCACTTATACCCCCTTTTTGCAAACTGGTAATTTTTCTCCACTGATGTACGTTGATGAGGTTGCACCGATAGGCAGCACTGATGAGGTGGCACAGATAGGCGGCACTGATGGCAATGACTGGTGGCACTGATGGATGGCACTGCTGGGCTGCACTGATGGGCACAGGTGGGCGGCAGTGGTGGGCACAGGTGTGTGGCACAGGTGGGCGGCTTCGATCATCAGGGCACTGATGATCAGTGCCCTGATGATCGGTGCCGATCCCTCCTCTGACAATTTCCAGTTCTCGGCAGTAGAAAGTGCAGCCGATAACCGTCAATTGCATTTCCCAGTGATCAGTGTGTCATTGGACACGGCTGATCATGTGGTAAAAGGCCACTGTGATTGGCCTTTTACTGAAGTACGTGATCAGCTGTGTATGTAGGACACAGCGATCACGGAGATCCCCAGGGGCGTGCAGGAGAGCGCATTCTGGGAGAACGTCATATGACGTCCACCCAGAACTGGCCGGCCGCAGTGAAGCCATCATTTGACTATCTGCGGTTGGCGAGTGGTTAACTAGTAGCCGACCGCAGATAGCCGAATGACGGCTGCACTGCGGCCGGCCAGTTCTGAGTGGACGTCATATGACGTCCTCCCAGAACGCGCTCTCCTGCGCGCCCCAGGGGGCGCGCACCCGGCGATCTCCTACGGACACAGCTGATCACGTGATGTGGTAAAAGGCCAATCACAGCGGCCTTTTACCACGTGATCAGCGGTGTCCAATGACACGCTGATCAGAGGGAAATGCAAGTGCCGGTTCTCGGCTGCACTTTCCTCACGCTGTCAGATCGTGAGGAAAGTACTGCCGAGAACCGGCAGTTGTCAGAGCGGGGATCGGCACCGATCATCAGGGCACTGATGATCAGTGCCCTGATGATCGGTGCCCAGCAGTGCCACCCGCAAGTTCCGCCCACCTGTGCCCAGCAGTGCGCCCACTAGCTCCGTCCACCTGTGCCCAGCAGTGTACCCACCTGTGCCCAGCAGTGCACCCACCTGTGCCACTCTGCAGTGTCACACACCTGTGCCCAGAAGTGCCACCTACCTGTGCCCAGCAGTGCCACCCACCAGTGCCACCCACCTGTGCCCACCCACCAGTGCTGCCCACCAGTGCAGCCCAGCAGTGCCGCCAGTCAGTGCCCAGGGATTGTGCCAGTCAGTGCCGCCAGTCAGTGCCGTCTATCAGTACCCATCATCAGTGCCGCCTATCAGTGGTGCATATTAGTTCCGCCTATCCGTGACACCTCATTAGTGCTGTCTATCAGTGCCGCCTATCCGTGCCACCTCATTAGTGCTGCCCATCAGTGCTGCCTCATCAACGCACATCAGTGAAGGAGAAAAAATACCTGTTTGAAAAATTTTATAATAGAAACAAAGAAACTTTTTTTTTTTTTTTTCAAATTTTTTGCACTTTTTTTATTTATAGCGCAAAAAGTAAAGCGCCCAGTGGCGATTAAATACCACCAAAAGAAAGCTCTATTCGTGAGAAAAAAATGATCAAAATTTCATATGGGTACAATGTTGCATGACCGCGCAATTGTCAATCAAAGTGCGGCAACGCTGAAAGATGAAAATTGGCCTGGTAAATAAGGGGGTATAAGTGCTTGGTAGGCAAGTGGTTAATGGACTCCAAGAAATACATTTTATGGTAAGTACAGAAACTCTTCTACCATCCTTTAAAGGTAAACTTATAACAAAATAAAGTGAAAAATGTTGCCTCTAATTAGCGCATTTATAACAGAGAGTGGATACCATTATTAACACTGATTTGTTTTATTCCACTCCTCAGGCCGAAGGGCAAATTAAATTTGTAAAGTACAGCAATGTGCTTTATAGAAGTGTCTTTTTTTTTTTTTAAGCAGCAGTATGGACACATTGCTGCTTTAAAAATTACCTCCTAAATCTTTGTCGTTTAAAGCAGGTATCTGGTTGCTTTTTAATGCCTACAGTCTTAAAGCTGTGTAATGACTGGTTTATAGTAATGGAAGTTTTAGGAATTGTCTGTAGAAGATAATACTGTTAGACAGGTAAGTGGTGCAAAACAGCAGGAATTAGAAAATATTACGTTCTAAGTCTCATTAAAACGGTAACCTGAGTGCCAATCAGTTCTGGAGTATTGTGATCTCAGTCCGCAGATTCACTTAATGGCCCTCCCCAGCAGAGCATAATCTGTTTGGCAGCCAGGCATAAAGAGAAATATCCACGATTTGTGTGTATAGGGAGCATGTGACTCCCTTTCCTTTCACCCACACAACAGCACTGGTGATTGGCTGCTCAGGCACTTACTGCCATCGCATGAAGGCAGATTGTAGTACCTCTTCTATTGCTGGGAAGCTCCAGTTGTATCCTTGTGTATTATATAAGCAAAAATAAATCACAACCTCGCTATATATTGGAAGAATTCCTTAATTGAGAGAATAGTAGTAGGCACTTATCCGCTGACTAGCCCCCAACCTAAACTATGCTGTTTACTGCCAGTGTTAGTATCCTGAGGTTAGACTCTTTCTCACTGCTGGCTGTGCCTGCAACGTGAGCCGTCATGGACTTCTACAATGCTGTCCCTTGAGACCTGAGACACTGAGACTATGAGGGCTCTCTGTATGGTTTTATAAATGTCTCATAACTTGTAGTGATAATGAGGTGATGCCACCCAGTGGCCAAATGTAATAGGCATTAACAGCACTTTACATTTTATTTCCACTTTTGCAGCCAAATTGGGATGACATTTTCTTTATATTTGTTACATATCTCTATTCAGATAGCATAATGTATTTAAAAATTGCAACTTGGTTTTCTTAGAAATCTTCATCTGCACCCCCCAGCAAGGAAAAATTCTACTTCTCTTTGTTTATACAGGGGCTGGGGAGCTGTGTTTGCCATATTAACCGCATCAGTACTGTGCAGGTAGATCTTCATTATCAATTGTTGCCAGATTTGAACACTGTGTATCCTAACAAAGGATTAAAAATGTAGAGGCTGGGCTTCTTGCATTGTATGTTAATGAGGACAGACATGGATCAGGCTCACTCTAACATTGTTTAAGCACTTGCTGACTGCGCTGTAGCCGAATAACGGCTAGAGTGTGGTCGTCCAGTTATGACATCCTCCCAGAACCACGCGCACCCAGTACTCTCTGTGATCGCTGTGTCCTTTGGACAGAGCTGATCACATGACACGGTAAAGGGCCAGTTACAGCAGCCTTTCACCATGTGATCAGTGGTGTCCAATCACAACTGATCACAATGCAAACACACTTGCCAGTTATTGGCAGTACTTTCCTCATGCTGTCGCAGCGTGTGGAAAGTACTGCCAATAAATGGCAAGTGTGAAAAGAGACATCTGCACTGATTATCAGTGCAGCCTCAAAAGTGCCCATCAGTGCCGCCTATAAATGCCAATCAGTGCCGCCAATCTGTTCCCATTAGTGCTGCCTATTAATGCCACCAGTCAGTGTTGCTTATTAGTGCCCATGATTGCTGCCTATCAGTGCCCACAAGTGAAGCCTCATCAGCACACATCAGTGAAGGAGAAAAATTACCTGTTTGCAAAATTTATAATATAAACTAAGAAAAAATGTTTTTGTCAGAAATTTGGGTCTTTTTTTGTTTTGTTTAGCAAAAAAAAAAAAAAACACCACCCTGTGGCAATTAATTACCACCACAGGAAAGCTCTATTTGTGTGAAAAAAAATGATAAAAATTTCACATGGGTTCAGTGTTGCATAATCGCACAGTTGTCATTCAAAGTGTGAGAGTGCTGAAAGCTGAAAATTTACCTAGGCAGGAAGGGGGTAAAAGTGCCCAGTAGGCAAGTGCTTAAAAAAACACTTGCAGTCAGCCATGACATGAAAAGGTAAGAAATATATATATACAGTCTGGCCGAAATTGTTGGCCACCCTTGATATTTTTCCTGAAAATCAAGTATTTCACACAAAAAAGGTATTGCATTAACACATGTTTTGCTATACACATGTTTATTCCCTTTGTATGTATTGGAACAAATATAAAACAGAGGCAGAAAAGCAAATTGACATAATGTCACACAAAACCCCAAAAATGGGCTGGACAAAAGTATTGGCACCCTTAACTTAATATTTGTGGACAAAAGAAAATAACACATGTTTTGCTATACACATGTTTATTTCCCTTTGTATGATTGGAACAAATATAAAACAGGCTCAAATATGAAAAAAGTATTTGGTTGCACAAAAACATAACTGAAATCAGTCGCTTCCTATAACCATCAATAAGCTTCTGACACCTCTCACCCCGGAATTTTGGGACCACTCTTCCTTTGCAAACAGCTCCAGGTCTCTCTTATTGGAAGGACACCTTTTCCCAACAGCAATTTTAAGATCTCTCCACAGGTGTTCAATGGGATTTAGATCTGGGCTCATTGCTGGCCACTTCAGAACTCTCCAGCGCTTCTTTGCCATCCATTTCTGAGTGCTTTTTGACGTATGTTTGGGGTCATTGTCCTGCTGGAAGACCCAGGATCTTGGACGCAAACCCAGCTTTCTGACACTGGGCCCTACAGTGCGACCCAAAATCCTTTGGTAATCCTCAGATTTCATGATGCCTTGCACACAGTCAAGGCACCCAGTGCCAGAGGCAGCAAAACAACCCCAAAACATCATTGAACCTCCACCATATTTTACCGTAGGTACTGTGTTTTGTTCTTTGTAGGCCTCATTCCGTTTTCGGTAAACAGTAGAATGATGTGCTTTACCGAAAAGCTCTATCTTTTTTGGCAAACTGTAGTCTTGCTTTTTTATGTCTCTGTGTCAGCAGTGGGGTCCTCCTGGGTCTCCTGCCATAGCGTTTCATTTCATTTAAATGTCGACGGATAGTTCGCGCTGACACTGATGCTCCCTGAGCCTGCAGGACAGCTTGAATGTCTTTGGAACATGTTTGGGGCTGCTGTCACCATCCGGACTATTCTGCGTTGCAATCTTTCATCAATTTTCCTCATCCGTCCACGACCAGGGAGATTAGCTACAGTGCCATGGGTTGCAAACATAATGTTGCGCACTGTGGACAAAGGCAAATCTAGTTCTCTGGAGATGGACTTGTAACCTTGAGATTGTTGATATTTTGCCACAATTTTGGTTCTCAGGTCCTCAGACAGTTCTCGTCTCCTCTTTCTGTTGTCCATGCTTAGTGTGGCACAGACAGACACACAATGCAAAGGTTAAGTGAACGTCTCTCCTTTTTATCTGCTTTCAGGTGTGATTTCTATATTGCCCACACCTGTTACTTGCCCCAGGTGAGTTTACAGGAGCATCACATGCTTGTAACATTCTTATTTATCCGCAGTTGTGAAAAAACATTTGCCAATACATTTGTCCAGCCCATTTTTGGAGGTTTGTGTGACAATGTCGAATTTGCTTTCTTTCCTCCCTTTTTTTGTTTTGTCCCAATACACACAAAGGGAATAAACATGTGTTATAGCAAAACATGTGTTAATGCAATACGTTTCGTGAGAAATACATGATTTCCTGGGAAAATATCAAGGGTGCCAACAATTTCGGCCATGACTGTATATTTTTTTTTTTTTTTAGGCATGCTGTGTCAATGGAAATGCATGACAAACATATGGTGGGGTTTTCTAAAATCTGACTGCAAAATTGGAAATACGCTTTAAGGGCAATAGACGTTTTAGAAAACATGCCTAATTGTCACTTAAAATTTTCAGGATAAAATTATATATTCCTTTTTTTTGTGCTACTGAAAAATATAACTGTATAAGGTTTTTAATGTGGTACATCTAACTGACCGCTGGCTTTTTTTTTTTTCTAGGATAACATTAGGAAATCAGTTGGATGGGATCCATTTATTAGATCCAGATGTTGTGGCTCGATTTAAGCAACAGTATCCAGATGGAGTGATCTCAAAACCAAAGAATGTGATGAACTGCTCTTACTACATTAATGAACAAGATAATATGGATCAGAAATGCATAGGCATTTGAGGTCTATGCAGTCCCAATTTAAAGGACTTTATATCACTTTTGTAAAAAGACTTGTTTTACAATTGTAAATACAAATTTATGGCATTGTACTTCTTTGGTAAAGTGCTATATTCTAAATTAAAAGTTCTAAGAAGCATTGAAGGAACACAGTGCACCTGCTAATAGAGTAAGTTTGTATCCAGACATAGTGTAGTGTACTATCCTGCTTTGATAAAAACTCTGCTTCCAGAAGTTTGGAAAACAACTTTTGTGTGGTTTATAACAGAAGTGGACTTCCCAGTTGCCCCTCCAGCGGTGTCTCTTGTCCCTAGATTGCTAGAGAAAGTCACCACGCTGTTGATGCCATTCCCTTTCTCTGTGCTCTTAGGACTTCTCACTCCTCAACTTCTAGTAGTACAGGGGATACCCTTTGAGAGGATGATATAATCCCAGTAAAAGGAGAGGACTTGCTTGTAAGGCTAGGGAACATTTATCTCAGCTGCAGTGTTTCTTGGATAGCATTAGCAGTTTATGGATGGATTTTACTTGCTGCCTGGAATTGAACAACAGACCTTCTCAACCCCTTTAAAAACTGCCAACACTATATAAAAGTATGTAGTTACATGAGTATAATACTGTAAGTTCGTGCTCCTTTTTGTTCATTTTTCACATTTTCATTGCTGCCAGTGCTGGCTATGCCTGCAATGTGGGCCATCATGGACTTCTACGTTTTTTGAGACACTGAGACTATGAAGGCACTCTGTAAGGTTCCCGAACCACCATTTTCAAAATCAATGTCATTGGCAGCCGGCTTATTTCTTATTCCCTATGCCGGCCCATCAATAATGCTTGTGTCTTGGCTTGCATGATTGTCATATTGTGCATGCACAAGATAGACTGCATGATGTCATGCATCTTGTCTTGTACACAAATTGCATTCACCTGTTGAAAAAACCTCTGCACTATCCTTCCCAGGATGCATCTGTCACCAGTGTCTCAGAACAACCAAAAAGTAGAAACACAAAAATTTTGGTAAAAGCAAAGCCGTTTTTTGCTCATGTCCTATTAGGGTGGAGGCCTGCTCTGCTGAAACAAGTAAGATTTCCCAAAGCATCTTCCAGGACAGCTACATGGGAGATACTGGCTCCTTCCCTACAGTAAACACAATAATGAAACCATTTAGAAGCCCCTCCCTTCATCCTCAGTATTATTGTGTTTTCGACCTCCAGGTGAACACATTGCTACCATTTTTTGCTTTTCTGTTGGTGTGGGTAATTGTGGTTGCCTACCGTTCCTCTCTGGTCCTGGTAGTCCTGCCTGTGGGTAGTGTCCCAGGGAATTGCTCTGTACATGCTACACCAGAGAAGACCTTAGATTTTTCTGTTGCCTGGATCTCGCTCCTGCCTTCTAGCCTGAGGACCGACTCCAGAAGCTCTTTTGGCCCTTCCAGGGACGTGCGGTTGAACCGGAGTGTGTGTGTGTGTTGGGGGCCCCCCACCCGGGGGGGGGGGGGGGAGCTGCCCTTCTATCCAGGCTTGCATGTGTTTGGTCCATGTGATGCCTCTCCCTGGTCCCTCCAAGATGGCCATGGTGTGTCACTTCCGGCAGCTGGGGGTGTTCCAAGATGGCGGTGTCAGTACTTCCGGCAGCTGAGGAGTTCCAAGAAGAGATGTGGCAGCTGTGGCTCAAGGCTCTCAGTCTCCTACACAAAAAGATTAGCGAAAATTTATTTCATCTGTGGCAGGTTCTGATTCGGTCTCCATGAAAAATTTCATGAAATCCATGTGGGAAGAAATGATCTACACTTTACATTTAGTAAGATCTGTAGTTTCTGGTGAACCTTCCACATCTCAGGCTGCTTCCCTTCCTTTTGAACGCGCTTCTGTCATTCTCCCTTCTGTAGATACAAATGTTACTGCCTCTGATTCAGAGGAAGAGAGGTAATCCCTTCGTTCTTTGGGGGAGGTGAGTTTGGAGAAAAAGGAAGGAGATCCAAGGGAAAATTATTTTAGCAGGTTTCTTTCCCTGTAGAAGAGACAGATCAGCTGCTAAAGGCAAATTATACATCAGAGCAGATTGAGGAGGAAATTCCCTCTCAGTCTGTCCAGGATATGATGTATAGGGGTCTGAAAGAGAGAAAGAATAGAACGTTTCCAGTACACAAATCCTTTAGAAGTATGATCCTTAAGGAGTGGAAAGATCTGGAAAAGAAGTTTCTTCCCAGAGAGCATAAACAAAGGTTTCCGTTTAGCACTGAGGAAGAAATTTTTAAATGTCCTAGGTTGGATGCCCCTCTTTCTCAGGTTTCCAAAGATGCTGATTTGTCCTTTGAGGATGCTGGGGTTATTAAGGACCAGATGGATAGAAAGGCTGAGTCCCTGTTAACAAAGGCCTGGGATGCCTCGGCTTTTGCCCTTGGACTCGCTTTAGCCTCCACTTGTCCCGCCAGAAACCTAGATCTTTGGATTGACAAGTTGGATAAACTACTCTGTTCACAGATGCTCTAATCGCGAATGTGAATGGAAGTGACTTTATAATTATCAATCAGCTGCTGCATCTTCAGGGTTCTAATGAGGAAAGTGGCAGGGTCTGAATTCCTTTAGATGTGATTTCCATTTGGGAGTATCTCACCAAAAATTACATTGCAGGGGATGCCCAAAATCTGATTTGTATCTTAGTGCAGACTTCTGGGAAAATCAGTGAGCTAATTACACAAGCAGGAAATTACATTTTTGGGGAGCCTGCAGGTTCCTCAGTAGGCCTGCTGAGGAAGCCCAAATCTGGGGTGTAACACATATAGGTGGAAGGAGCTGAGCCCTAGATGTGTTGAATCGTTGGCCACCCAGGGGAGTGGGTTGGTGAGCCATGTAACAAAATATACATTATATGCTGGCTTGTTTCTTACATCTTGTGTTTTTAATCTGGATGCTAATAAAGCGTTTTATAAATAGAGGGCACTATGGTTCCACTTTTCTGTTTTCCATAATACATATTATATGAGAGCGTCAGCTGGAGGAGTGTATACTGTAGCGGTGCCAGGAGAGGAGCTTGAGGAAGACAACGGAGGGTGTACAAAAGTGTGTCCATATGTTGAGCGCATAATGACCTATTGATGAGGTCATGAAGTGGGGTGAGCAGGTTTTTCACCTAATGGTGGCATGGTTGGCATTGAATTAGAGAGATTTATTTCATACACATTGCACAGTGGTGTTATAAGGGACTTTTTCATGGGACTTTAATTATTGTTTTAGATTGATTTTTATATGAGATATTGTTCTGTTGCGCTACACTATATTGTTATTCATTTTGGTACAGGTGTGAAGTCACTAACTGTTTTAGTAGCAACTATTTAGAGCACTATTGTATTATTTTAGGGTGTGTTGCGCTGATTGAACAGGGTTCAGATAGAACAGCTGCATATATTGCATGAAAGAGTAAGATGTTACTTCCCTTTATCCACTCAGAGAACATCTTACTCTTTCATACAATATATACAGCTGTGGGAGCAGTAACTTATTGGACCTGGAATGCAATGTGGACTGGGTGTTCATAGTCTGAGCAAATGGGTCTTTCAGTATGTTATGATAAGTTGAGAAAATGTGGTGCTCATTGAAACATCTTGTGGACCTTGATATCGCTGGAACATTTTGTGTGAGAGCAATTGCAGACCTGCAGAGTGACCGGCCTGTGTCATCAGGGGACTGTGCTGCCTTAACCAGAAGAAACAGCTGACACCCAGTGATGTCAAGAACAAAGATGGCAGAGGTACAGCAGGGCAATGATAGTTCTGCTGGGCAGTTGAGTATCTGAATTGTGGACAACCCTCAATAACAGTCTCCCACGATTTGGTTCTCTCACATCGATGCAGAACTGTGCTTCGTCCATAAGTTCTTAAAAATGCCAGGGAAATGCCAAAGGGCTGCATTTGATTGCTGCATGTTTTTGTGGACTTTTGACATTCACAATAACTTAATGTTGTTTGCAATTAATTTGTGGTAATGTGGCTTTCTGTATCTGAGACAACCCTGGACTCATCTACAGAGGATTCCTGATCCTCAAGAGGAACTTCCTCTAAATCTTCATCCTCCCCCAAAAGTGGAGGGGCGGAGGAGAGTACCCATGTTAGCATCCCGGGCTAGTAGGAACTGATCTTACAGTCCAGAAATGTCTGCAGAAAAATTCTGCATTGACACAAAGGAAAATTTTGTCCCTGTGGAGATGCCAGATAAGTGCAAGCATTCAGAGCTAAAAAAAAAACACTTTGTGTCGCTCTCCACTATTAACCACTTCCCATTCACCCCATATATATAAAATGGCCAGATAGGAGCAGTGCAGGGGCGGGTTGCCGTTCATAAACTGCACCCGCCATTTTAGCCTGGGAGCGCGCGGCACCGCGATCCGGTGCCCGTTGTGTCCGAATACAGATCGCTGTATGGGACCTCTGTGAGGTCCCAATCATGATCACTGATTGGCCAATCAGTGATCACATGAATAGTAGTAAGCAAGATGTCACTTCTGACATCATTGCTTACTACATGTGAAATCTGTGAATGATCACATGGTACAAGTCTATTCACAACAGCCTTGTACCATGTGACAAGCTGTGAGCAAACACAGCTCTCACACAGTATTTCTCAATGGCTGCAAGAATGCAGCCAGACAGAAAGAAATGAAATTATTGCTTTTATGGGTGTAAAAGCAATCAGTTTAAAAAAAAAAAAAAAAATCTTGGTCACCCCCCACAAGTAGTAGTGTCACTATGGTACTGCTAGGGTGACAGTATGTTATTAAAAAAAAAAAAAACAATATAAAAAAACATTTTTGAAAAATTATACTTTTTGGTTATAAACTAATTTGGGTTATTTTTTTTTTTTTTTACTAGAAAGATAGCTGAATACATTTTTGGCCAAGATTTATGAAGAAAGATTATTTATTTGCAAAATTTTATAAGAAAAACACTTTCTTTCAAAATGTTTTGGACTTTTTCATTTATATAGAAAAAAAAGATAAAAATGCCAGTG